TTATTTTATTTTTTCTTCTTCTTTTCTCTTTCTCGATATAATATATATTTTTTTAAAGCGAAGAAAAAAGCAATAATAATAATAATAATATCATTTATTTTTTTTGTGTGTGTGTGCGTGTGTCTGTAAATTGGGAAAAGTGGGAAAATCGACTTAAAGTTTTTATATTTTTTTTTTTAAATAGAAAATCTCCATCTTTTTCTTAATACGACTTTAAAGACTGATGATGAGGATGATGATCACTTTGAAAAAAGACGTTTAATACTAAAATCCTATTAACCCTTTTTAAAAGTAATTTGATTATTACTTTTCTATCTCTCTCTCTCTCTCTCTCTCTCTCTCTCTCTTATGTATTAATAAAATTATTATTGATAAAAAATAAGTAAAAAATTTTTATACTTTGATTTATTTCGTTTTACGGATGATGAAATAAAAATAATTTTTTTTTTTGATTTGATTTTATCAAAAATAATAAGAAAAATATAATTATATTATCCCTTTTTCCCCCTCTCCCTCTCCCTACCCCAATCGATCGATCGTAAATCAATAATTCCAAATCGATAAGAAGAAATTTACGTTTTTTTTTTTTTTTTTAATAAAAAAGAAAATAAATAATAATTACAATAAAAGTTTTATGGTTTTCAATAATGAGAAGTTGTAAAACATCGACTTAAAAAGATTAATTTAATAATAATAAATTTAATTTTATTGTCGTTATCAATCAAAATTAACATACATAAATAATTATTTAAATGATAATTAAAAAAAGGTTAAGAAAAGCAGGGAAATAAAAAATTTTATTTATGTATATATATATACATAAGTTTACAATCGTTTATTTTAAATAAAATCGAAAAGAAAAATTCAGGTGATGTTATTTATTCAAAAAAAAAAAAAAAAAAGTACGAATGTAAAAGTTATTTAAGATTATTTATTTATTATCATCATCATCATCATCATCAATTATTTATACGGTTATTTATTATTTATATAAATAATACATCATTGAAAAAAAAAAAAAAAAATCACTCGTACGAGGGCAGGTGTTGGATGCACTCGTGTCGTCGTAAATACAAGGGACAAATCAATAAAAACCGTTCAAAATAGAAGAACGCAAGCGCCTTATAAATCCCGGATAGGCTTCTCCTTTAAGCAAACAAAACGTGGTCCAATTAAATATCAGAATCATATTTATTAATCATTAATAACAATTTAATTTTTTTTTTTTTAAATTCCTCTATTATTTATTTTTATGTATCTTAATTATAGGTTTTATCACTTATAAATAAAATTTCTTGTGTGAAAATGGCAGACATTGTTAGAGTTCAGGTCACTTTTTTTTTTTTGTACACACACTTAAATGTGCTATTTTCCCTATTTTTTTTTTTTAAAAAGTTTTTTTTTTTGCCTCAAATATTTGAAAACTTGATTGTGCTATGCCACCATAAAATTTAAGTATTTAAAAACATGAAAAACATTATTTAATAATTTATTATCAAAGATAAAGTTAATTTAAAATTTATTTATTATTATCACAAAGCAATACATAATTAATAAGAATGAAAAACGTTTATAATATTACTTGGTGGGTAAAGTTTACTTTGAAAATTATTATTACAAAAAAAAAAAGCAGAAGAAATTATTTTATAATGAATTTTCCATTGGAAATAATATTTTCATAATAGTTCTGTTATGAAAGCATTTTAAAAATGATAAAATCCGTTAGATTCGAATTTTGTCGCCAGTTTTAAAAAGTTTTATTAAAAAAAATAATAATAATAATAATTTATACCTGTGACGGAGAATTAACTGAATAATAATTAAATTTTTTTCTTAAAGTTATTTAAGAGTTTGTCTAAATGAAATTGTGAAAATTTTTATAATGTAAAAGCTTTGTTCATCTTGAAAAAAACGTGGTTCTAACGTTTTGGAGATAAAGGGTAAAAATTCAATGTCAAATCAAGGTTGGCAAACCTGACTCGAAAAATTTCAATCTGGCGCCACATTTATTACCATTAATTTTATTAATTTAAGTTATGAAAGCGCTATTAAAAATTTAAAATTTTTAATTAGTGTAATGTCTGATACTCCGAGAAATGCTGGAGAAATCGTCAGAATTGAAACGTATAATTTTATGTTAGTGAATTTATATTCTTAAATATTTAATTTTTTTTTTTGGATAAATAAAATTTAAATATAATATTTCGCATAATAAAAGAAATTTTTGAATAATTGCAATATAATTAAATATTTTATTCTGTTAATCATGTTACAGTAATAAAATACCTAATTTAATATTATAAAATATTCATACTTTTATGAATAATAATGCAGATTTATTATCAATAATTTTAAGTTGATTTAAACTAATATTTTTTAAATTTCCTTCACAGAGTTTTTTTAAATTAAAATTTATTATTTTATTATATTATAAAATGTTAATTTAAATTTCTTTTACTTTAACAGGTCTTATGATAATTTCAAAATTTATCCTAGGAGTAACCTAAATTTAATAATTGGTCCCAATGGAACTGGGAAATCATCAATTGTGTGTGCAGTACTACTTTGTATTGGGGGAAAACTTAAAACATTAGGTAGAGCTGATCATTTGAGCTCTTACATAAAAAGTGGATGTAATGAAAGTAAAATTGAAATAGAATTATTTAATCCAGATGGTCCCAATGATGTCATTACCAGAAAATTTTTTACAAATAATCATTCGGAATTTTTTTTAAATGGCAAGTCGATAACTGGAAAGAAGGTTCGATATTGTTTTCGTCATATGTGATATTATTATTATTAATTATATTTTAAAGTTTTTTTTTTTTTTACAGTTGGAGCAACTAAGATGTAATTACAAAATAGAACCTGACAATTTATGTACATTTTTACCACAAGAAAGAGTTCAAGATTTTGCCAAATTAAATTCTCAGCAATTATTAGATCAAACTCAAAGAATTATCGGTTAGTTAATTTTTTTTTTTTTTTTTTTTTACACATTCCTTATTTGAATTGAACAAATTATAAACCCATTAATCTTAAATCGATATAATTGATTAATTTGAAATTCCTGACACAGTAATAACAGTAAAAATTAATCACATTAATAACTTTTTTTTAGGAAATGGCGAATTAATACGACAATTTGAAACGATGAAAACTTTTCAAAAGGAAACAATCGATTTAGAAAAAAGATTTGAAATTTTACAAATGGAACTTGAAAAAGAAAAACAAAAAAATGATAAAATTAAAGATCAGGTTAAATTTTTTAAAGAGAAACAAAAATTAATCGAAAAGGTATTTTTTAATTTACATTTTTTTTCGAGCCTTGATTAAATTTTTTTTTAAATATAAACAAATTCAAATTAAATGTGAAAAGAATTAATAATCTTAATTCGATATATATTAGCTTGGATTTTTAAAACAAAAACTAGCATGGGTTACCTACTTACAAGAAAACAATCGAAAAAATAAAATAAATGAAAAAATAAAATTAGTCGAAAAAATTTATTTAGAACATAACGAATATGTGGATTACTGCGATAAAGTACTTAAAGAAATTAATAACAGGATAGAATTATTGGAACAGAAAATAAATGAAGTGGTAAGTTATGTAAATTAATTAATTATTTTTAAAAAATAAATAATTTTTACACATTAAAATATTATTATTATTTTCAGAAAAAAAATGAAGCGGGAAAAAAAATATTAGTGCAAGAAAGAATAAAGAAAGCCAAAAGCGGTTTTAACGAATTAAAAAAATTTCAAAATTTACTACAATCGAAATTAGATGAAGAAAATAAGAAAAAAATCGAATTGTTAAATTATAAAGAAAATCAAGAAAAATTACAAAACGATTTAAAAAATTTCGATGAAGAAATAGGTTTATTTATTGTTTTCATTAATGAATTTATCAAGTTTATGATTGATGGTCATAATAAATATCGACAATTCATTTTAGGAACGGAATCGAATTTAAATTTACAAATGAAAGAAATAGAAATGAAATTTAAAAAACTTCACGAAGAAGAAAGTCGATTAAATCATGAAAAATTTAATTTAGAAGAAAATGGTGATTCTATTAAACAAGATGTGAGAAATATAAGTCACGAATGTAAAATTCTTAAACAACGACAAAATCATCGTTTGGAATATTTGAAAAAAAACGAAACCGACGTTTGTAAATCAATGGATTGGTTAAAAGAAAACCGGCATTTGTTTAAATCTCACATATATAATCCGATCCTTTTAGAGGTGATTTACTCTTTCTTTTAGTTATTAAAATAATTCACAATAAAATTTGAAATTTATTTTTATGTTCAAAATGTTTTTTTACAGATAGACATAACCGATCCTACTATGGCAAAATATATAGAATCGCGAATAAATTACAACGATTTAATTTCGTTTCTCTGCACAAATCCCGACGATTTAAATTTATTCGTACAAAAACTTAGAAAGGAAAAAAATTATAAAATAAATGTTATATGTTCGGACGTGAATGAAAATAGTCAATACCATTCCGAAATCCCAATCTCCGACTTGAAGTAATAATCGAAATCGATTTTAAGAAATTTTTGATTGTTATTTTGTCAACTTTAAACATTTGGGAATTTATTGTTTATTGTTTGTTAATTTTAGAAATTATGGTTTTTTTGCTTACCTTCAGGATTATATTTCCGGACCTGAAGACATAATTCGTTTCTTGTGTAAAACGTATAAAATTCATCGGGTTCCCATTGGCGATGAAAGAGTTAAAGAAAATTGCGAAAAAATTCCAAGAAGCATTCCACTTTTTTTCTCCAGTAAGCCTCCTGCAAAAAAAAAAAAAAGTTAAAACGAAAATTTTACAACAAAAAAAAAATTAAATTAATATTTTTATAATTACCTTGCAGAAGATTATGTTTTCACCGTTAAATATTCCGTTTACAGCGGGAGTAAAGCTTTAAACGTTAAAAAACTTCAACCTCCGAGATTTTTTGGTCAATCGACGGATACTCAACGCATAAAATTTCTCCAAAATAGGTACTAACTGAAAGTGAAAAAAATTTTTTTATTTTATTTTCCACGTAAATAACGAATGATTCACGTTAGGGAAAAAGAATTGGAAGAATCCCTGCAACGAAATCGATCGGAAGTGTCCGAAGTCGATGAAAAAATAACAAAGATAAGAATGGAATTAATGGAAGTCAAAGGAAAAAGGAGAGAGATAGGAACTCACATACAAAAAAGGGAAATGATAGAAATGAATTTGAAAAGAGCGAGCGGTCATTGTAAATCCTTGCAAAACACATTGAAAAATCCCGATGAAATCGTTAAAGAAATGAACGATCAGGAAGAAGTATAATAATAATAATAATAATAAGTTTTGTTTTTACCTCAGCAAACAAACAAAAGATTTTTTTAATTTTTTTTTAGAACATAATTAAAAATTTGATTAAAAATATAAAAAATTTAAAACGTGCCAATGTCGATTATCAAAATGTTAAAATAAATCGTTTAAATATCGAATTGGAATATAAAATGGTAAGACGAGCGAGGAAAAAAATTTGCAGTAAAAAAATTATCATTTCCGACAGGAGAACTCACGTCGAGGTTATTAAATAATTATTTTTTTAAATGGAAAAAAAAAAAAAATGTCGAAAATAATGATGAATTTTTTTTTTGTTTCAGGACTCTTTTAGAAAAATTAAAGAGCGTTTAAAAGAGAGCGAACGTAAATGTGAACAGCTTAAAACGAGAGCGAAAACTCTTACGAATAACATATCGATAGAAGAAAAACGTTTTTCACAATTTAAAAAAATATTTTCCGAATTACCCAAAACGGTAAACGAACTCGAATCGAAAATGGATGCCGTACAAGCAAAAAGTGAATTTTTACAAGGAAACGTCGAAGTAAAAATAAAAATAATAATAATGATGATGATGATAATTTTATACATTTTTGTACATGAGGAAATTTTTTTTTTTTTTTTTTTCGCACAGATTTTGAACGAATATGAAAAAAGAGAAGAGAAAATATTTCAAATGACGTCATCATTCGAAAGCAGTAGAAAAAATATAGAAGATAGAAAAAGAGAATTGACGAGAATGCGAGGAGAATGGTTGGATCCGATAAACGAACTCGTGTCGAAAATAAATAAAAGATTTGAAAAATATTTCGAAGCCATGGGATGCGCGGGTGAAATCAGTTTGGATCAAGGCGGTGGTGGAGGAAATCAAGTAAGTAAGGAGGGACACACGTGTCGGACCACGTGGTCGTTTTAATTAATTAAAAATTATAATGATTTTAACGTCACGACAGGATGCGACGGCGGATTTGGATAAATACGGAATAAAGATAAAAGTTAAATTTAGAGACGGGATACCTTTGGAAGAGCTCGGACGGTATTTTCAAAGCGGCGGTGAAAGAGCCGTGACTACGGCCCTGTACATGTTAGCTCTTCAAAAAATCATTTCCGTTCCCTTCAGGTTCATCGACGAAATCAATCAGGTTGAATCATATAACCATTTTGAAAATCTACCTATTAAAAAAATAATAATAATATTAATAATAATAATGATGACATTTTTTTTTAGGGAATGGATCCCATAAACGAAAAAAGAATAATTGAAATATTGATGAAAGTAACATCGCAAAAAAATTCAAGTCAATATTTTTTTATTACGCCAAAGGTAACGAATAACAAAAGAAAATGATGATGATAATAATGATAATAATAATAATCGCACTTTTTTTGTTTTCAGTTATTACCTAATATAAAATACTCTGAAAAATTAACAGTTCATTGCATAAATAGCGGACCATACGTCGAACCATCTAGCAAATGGAGTCGTCCGAATTTATTATTATATCGTAGCGAAGAAGCAGAAGACGACAGCAGCTAAAATTAATTAACAGTTAATATATATATATATATATATCATAACGTTTAAATTAAATAATAATAATTATACACAATTATACAATGATTAAAACGAGAAAAAAAAAAAAAAAAACAAAAAAACAAAACAAAAATTGATTTTCAATTGCACTAATTTTCTTTCTTTAATTTTTTTTTTATAATTAATTATTAATTAATAACCGGACAAAAAATTTATTTTTTCATACATTTTACATATGAATGAATATTTATTTATATATATATATATAATTTTATATAATCGTAATTTTATGACAATTTTTTGCTTTTTTTATACGAACGAGACCTTTTCGAGGGCCATGAAAATAATAATAATAATATAAATTTAAATTTTTTTTTGTAATTTTTATGTAAATTAAATATAATCATATACATATTTTATAATTTTTTCATTTTTTTTTAAATTAAATTAAATAACAAATTAATAATAATAATTTCAATTGTTGTATAAACTACAAAAAAAAAAATAATAATAATAATAATAATAAATGAGTTTTTCTAATAATTTTTTTTATTATTAAAGCTTTTGTTTTATTATTAAATGACCGAAGAAGAAGAAGAATTTAATAAAATTATTAATTAATCAAAATTAGAGATACATAAGTATAAAGACGTAAAAAAAAAAAAGAAAATGGTTTCCTTCATTGTTTTTAATAAATTATTTAAACTTTTTTTTTTTTCATTTTGAAAGCGAAATTTATTCGATTCTATTATTATTATTATTATTATATAACGTGATGTAATTCTTAATAAGTGTGATGCCTAACTAACTAATATATATTATTTTTTTATTTTCCTATTAAACCCCTATTTATTTATTTATTTATTTATTAAAACCATTATAATAAAATCCTCGCATTGAACAAAAAAAAAAATTTCTTATAATATATATACAATATTAAATATTTATAAACTTTTAAAAACTATTTATATATATATATATATATATATATATATTAAACAATATTCTGAGTTTATTATTATTATTATCATTAATTCTTCATCGATATCTACATTTTTTATTATTATTATTATTTAATTTTATTTTTGTGTATAATTGGAATAAAATTTTTTAAATAACAAATTTCAAAATTTTTTTATGCCTTTTTTTTTTTTTTAATAATAATATTATTATCATAAATTTTTTTATTTTTTATTAAATATAAGCTTATGTCAACAACGAACGTATTAAATTATTATTATCATCATTATTATTATCATTTCTACGTATAACATTAAGCAGATACATTTTATAAAAACAAACTACTTTTGTTGATTTGAATTTTTTTATTTAACTTTCTCGATATGATTTTATTTATTTATTTTTTATTTGTTTATATGAAGCAATTAATAATTAATAATAATTAATAATAATAATAATAATAATATAATATTTTAACAATATAAAAACTTTACCCCACCCTCGGGGGAGGGGGATTATAATTTGACTTTGGCATTCAGCAAACGATTCGATCGAAAAATAATAAATACATAATCATCATTATCATCATCATCATTCATAATTATATTATTCGTTATTGTAAAAAAAAAAAAACGCATTCGTATATATAATAATAATAATAATAATAATAATAATAATTGTTATTAAACTTTTTATACCGATAATATTATGTCTTTTGAATGATTAAAATATATTTTTTATATAATAAACAATAATTCAAAACTACGATGGAATGAATGAATTATTGAAGAATTTTTTTAGGGAATGAAAACATTCCAAACTCACAAAATTAATTCAAAATAAAAAATAAAATAAAAAATAACGACTCCTTTTACAATAATCAAATATAACTTTATATAAAATAATAACAAACGTTCACGTTACATACAATTAAATATATATATATATATATATACACATACATGTATAAAATTATTGCTCGCGGATATATAATAAACTTAACGGCTTTACCAATAAAATAATAATAAAATTGATTCGATCATACCAACTTTTCCACGAAAAAAAAAAAAAAAATGGCGCCCATGTCACGCCTCATTTAACGAAAATCCCATTTTTTTTATTTTCTTATTAAATTGCAGAATAAAATCCAGGACAATTTGAAGGGGATGGAAATGGATTCTCTCTCGTTCACTCGTTTTTACTTTTTTTTTTTTTAATCCACTCCGGCAAATCCCTGTGATCCCTCGATGGCTTTTATTAATTTTTCTCGAAGTTGTTGGTAGCTTTCGTACGGTGGCAAATCGATCCTGTTGAAACTGTAAATAATACATAAGTACCCAAATGATGTTTTTAATACCATATAATGCTGATGGCATGATTGATATGCCAAATTTTTTTTTTTTTTTTTCATTTTACCACGTGTGTGCTCGAGGGTAGTTATCCGGTGTGCCCCATTTTTCGATCGTGAACAACTGAGGTCCGTTACTACCGTACAACTCTTTGAATCCGTTCATGGGTACTCTCGACGTACCCGTCGTAAACTGAAGTAAACGAGCTCTCATTTCTTTGTTGAACGTTAAAACGACCTTTGACACAAAAGAATTAATTAACTTGTGATAAATATATATAATATTAAATGACAATTAATTTTTTTTTACAGATAAAATTTACCCTCCAAAACCATTGTACGACGATGTGATTCGGATGATAATCTCCTTTGTACAAAGTATTTTGCTTCCAATCTTTCACATCGATATTTTGTATTCCGCACATCAACAATTCCAATTCGTTTTCATCGAATATTTTTATAAATGCCAACGGAACCAAACCGCTGAAACCTTCTAAAAATGCATTCATTTGTTCTTGAACTCTAGATACGAACCTCCATTTTATCACTAAACTATATAAGTAAATAAAAAAAAAAAATTAAAATGGCGGACACGAATTTACTTTACATGAATATTATGAGTTCAAGGCAATAAATTAAATGCGTTTTTTTTTTCTTCTTCTTTTTCTCTCTCTTTTTCGAGTAAATATTTCACGTACATTCATTCGAAACAAAATTTCACTTTAATTATTTAAATATCATAATTATTTACAATTATTTACGTACTTGATGTATTCATCTTTATTTTCGTCCGTTACGGCGATATTAGCGCCGCCTGGTTTTAATTCCCTTTGTGACGTCATACCTAAACTATCTTCATCTATGGAAAATGTCAATTCTAATTCGCTCGGATCGTTTTCTTTTATCCACAAAAGCGAATTGTAATATTCGGAATCTACACTTTCCATATCTTTCAAATCTATCGGTTTTTCTAACATCATTTTATAAAACGGACGTATGAAAAATGCTACGAAATAAATAAAAACAATCAATAAGAATAATGATAATGATAACCGCAAAAATTTGTATTTACCATCTAGTAATTTTCCGTGATAAACGGCCATGCCAGCAATTCGTCCGATAAATTTAAAATAATTTAAATGTTCTTCGTTACACATTCCCGACAGAGGATTTATTTGAAGAGTGTAATTATCTCTGAATTTTACAAAAAAAAAGAATACAAGAATATTAAAGAATACATTCAAACAAAAAAAAAAAAAAAAAAAAATGAACAAATAGTTTTATAACGTACGTCGCGGAGTATTCGAATAATCCGTAATAGGGATTAAACATTTCTTTGGATAAAAGGAAAAACCATTCTCTGGCTAATCCACCGTAATCCAAACCGATTTCTCCTTCGAATTCGATCCACAATTTCGTTTTGAGTAAAGCTACTCTATTTATACTGCTTATTATCCTATACGAATCCTCTAATATATTATTACGATGAACTTTTATTTCGATTTTGTTCGGAACGTTTGCGGGTTTTTTAAGTTGCATTTTAAAATACTCGTATTTTCTTTTGTAATCTCGCGAATATGGCACGGCCTAAAAATAATAAAGAAAAATTTTAGGATCCCGATGGAGTTGCCAAGAACACTATTGTGAATAAGTGATTGGGGGGATTTGACTTACAGGACCGGCGATTTGAGGATTCGATAATCTGGGATCTTCCCATTGTGTCGTTCTAGTGTTATGATCGATGAAAAATGTTCTACCATCCGTGTGCATTCGCTCTTCCCAACCTTCCGGCAACGGGGATAATTCGTCATCGACTTTTTTCGGTACTGTAGTCACGACTTGATTTGGCATCGGACTCGCTCGACCCGTTCTGGGATCGACCCAGGTCGTGGTTTTCTCATTGTGATCTATGAAGAAAACTCGGCCGTTCGGAGCTATTTGAACCGTCCAACCCGGTGGCAAACCTTCAGAAGAAAGAGCACTCGCACGGTATTCATCCGCCTAAAAAATAAATAATAGAAAAATTTTTTCCCCCCAACTTTTCTTCTACTTCAAAAAAAAAAAAAGAAATTTTCTTACGTTGAGTTGAGACTCTCTTCTGGATTGTGCAACAGGTTCCCTAACTTCTCGAGCCTGCAAAAAATTTTTATTTAAAGATTAAAAAAAAAAAAAAAATTTCTAAAAAGCCAAATTATAAACTTTTTTCCCGGACGAATATTATTAAGAATTTATTATTCAAACAAAAAACTGACAAATTAAATAATTTGAAGTCATTATTTTTAAAAAAGTTTAATAATAAGAACGGCTTAAAAAATTAAAAACAGAGCACAAATTTTGATTAAGTGTTATAAAAGAACAAACAATAATTTATCCAAAGCGAAAAATTTGTTTCTAAGGCACGTATAATAACGATTGTAATAATAATAATAATAATTGAACGTTAAATTCCTTTTTTTAAAACGCCTGTGAGTTAATTTATTAACTCAAGTCAAAAAAAAAAAAAAAAAAAAAAAATTTAAATCAAGTGTAATTTTTCATTCGCACACAGAATACAAATATTTTATATATATATATATAAAAAAACAAAAAACAAAGAAAAAGCAAATTCTTCCATTCAGATCCATCCTGTCTTCTTCATTTGCAATGCATTTTTCATAAGCAATCTACAATTAACAATTTTTTTAAATTATCACTTGCAAAAAAAATTTAAATTATAATTATAATTTATAAAAAATATTACAATCGACTAAAAATACAAAAAAAAAAAAAAAAAAAACTACTGATTTTATTAAAGGTTATATTTTGTGATTCATGTGTCAAAAAGATAAAGAACTAATATTATTAACAAATGCAAAATTTAAAAAATATTATCAATGATTTGACCGAAAAAAAAAGTTAACATTTAAATTCCATTTGTGTAATAATACACAAATGCGAATATAATAATGAAATGGCTCAGCATTTTTTATTTTTTTTTTCTCCATTATTCTACTCTAAAGTATCACAAAGCCAACAAGTTTACTTTTTTGTCTTATCTTTTTGTCTTACCTCAATATTTTCATCAACTTCGTTAAAATCATTTCTTACTTCATTACTATCGGCTACATCTTCATCTAATACACTTTCACTACTTTCATTACTTGAATCCTTTGAAAGCATAAATAAAGAAACACATGCACTTACAAATAATTTGAATAAAAAATAATTTTAAATTAATACAAAAATTTATAACCCAATTTTAAAATAATAATAAAAACAAGTAATACAAATAATAATAATAATAATAATGATTTTGTAACATTCCATTTGAAAAATAAATATCGAATGCTTTTGGGTTTTTTTTTTTACATCATTAATTAATACCTTTTCCCTTTTCTATTGACAAAAAACATGCATAGGTTTAATTATTATATGAATACATATTGATGTCTACATAAATAAATAAAATTTTGTTTAAAGCAAAATGCGATATTAATTTTAAAAATTACCTGACTGCCATTTTCTCTTACAGATGTTTCGTTATCATCAGCACTTATGTGACTCCTTCTCCCAAATTCAGTGGCAGCAGATTCCAAGCTCTGTTCTCTTGCAGCATGATCAATTGTTTCAGTGCTTTAATTGAAATTTAATTTTATTAGGTTATCATAATCCTCAAGTAATGTCATTCATCAGGAAATTATGACATACTTAAATGTTGGTCTTTCCCATTGAGTACATCTTCCAATGTGATTAACATAATAAGTTCTTCCATTAGCATCCTGTCTTTCTTCCCATCCATGAGGTAAAGGGGAATTATTTTCAGATGTGACTGAAAATACAGTGTGAGCAGGACTAGCAGTATGTCCTACAGTATCAACAATTTCCCAATTTTCATCCAGTCTTATATTTCTTTGACTTGAAGAGTCACCAGTAGTTCTTATTTGATTATGAAAAACATAAACAATTTCTAAATATCCTTTTACTTTAGACCTAGAGCTAAAAAAAAAAAGAAAGAAAAATCAACATTAGAGTCTAACAATTGCCAAATAAATAAGTAATTATATTTTTATATGTAAATTACTCGAATCTAAACAATAAAATTCATTAATTTCCAAAATTATTTCACATTTTTACATAAATTATTTATAATTGTTTTTAATTAAGACTTTACCTCCTAGGCTGAAGAGGATATTTTAAAGATCTGCCAGCATTTTCAACAGATAAATTTGGCAAAATTAATTCAACCATTCCCAAAAAATCATCTCTAGTTAGCCTGTTCTCATCGAAAACTTGAAGAACAAGCTTATGCTCATTTATTTTTACCTAAAATTAAAGATTCGATGAATAATATTTAATTCCGATAAAATCCATTTTTAATAATTTAAATTGATGAATAATAAAGAATTCATAAATTACATACTCTAAATGCAAATTGTTCATTCCATTTAGGATTTAATGTTTTCTTTTTAGTTTTTGTACACACAGAATCTATGGTTAAATCATCATTGATTGTTTTTAAATCGATTCTAACATAAGGATCAGTTGCACCAAATATATCTTTTTTGGCCAAATGGTGACCTCCTAATACTTTAATAATAATTTTGCTAATTGAATTATCATTCTGAAAAAAAAATATATATATATATATTTATGTAATAAAATATTTTTATCTGTAAAAACAATAACGAAACTTACAAAAAAAAAAAAAAAATTCAAAAATCCCACATTTATAAATATTAATACGATAGACCAAGAGATAAATAACTACTTTAGATTATTTAACAAAAACCTATAATTGTCATTTTGAAATTTACATTAACAATAATACTAATAATAATAATATTAAAAGCACATTAGATTTTTTTTTTTTTCTATTACCAAAAAGTCAATAAAAACGAAATAATTTTTTTAAAAAAATAGATAAATTGAATTTTTTTTTGCACCGATTTATTCAAAATGAAGAATATTTGAATAATAATTAAAAAAAAATAAAAATAAAATAACAATATGAATTTTCTTGTTAAACGTTAATATAGGTCATTTAAAAAATAAAAATAAATAAAAAATAAAATATATAACGTTTACAGTAAATTTTTAATTTAATAACAACAACTCGGTATTTTAAAAAAAATTTTAATTTATTTTAAATTTAAAAATTAAAATTTTCGAAAATGAAGAAAAAAAGAAAAATGGTGCAAACCTGCAAAACAACCTTGAAATTTTTTTTGGGACTTTGGTTAAATCAGATAAAAAATAATTTAATAAAAAAAATTAACTTACTTCTTCTTCGGCAGTTGGATAATATCCATAAACGTTTTTAGCATTCATGAGTAAATTTATGCGAGATACTTCGTAAGGCATTAGTAAATTTTATAACTTAAAATTTTCATTGAATTATTGCTATAAAAAAGTGTGAGCAAAAATATAAAATTTTAAAATTTTAAAAAAACTCGACGGTTGATTTGTTTAAAATATCATTTTGATTATTGTCACTGAGCGAACATAACGAAAAAAAAATAAATAAATAAATAAATTACTGTAAAATATTTCGTGAACAGATTACTTCACATAATATTAAGGCAGGATGACATCACCACTTATGCCATTTCAAGACCTGGTAAACAATTGGGAAATAGAGATTTTCACAATTCCAAAGTTGGCAGCACGTGATTAATTTTTTCGATATCTCGAATTTTTATTTTTATTTTGTAAATTTAGGCGCGTAATTTATTTATTTTGATATTAAAAAAAAATTTTTTTCAAAAATTAACTAAAAAAATTTTGAAATTCAGATACCCAACAAAATATTTGTAAGTTAAAATTCATAAAATTAATTATTACGACTTACAATTAATATTTAAAATAATATATAATTTAAAAAATAATTAATTACATTAATGTAATCGATTTTTAAGATTGCTAAAAAAAAAAAAAAAGATAATCAATCAAAAGCTTTTAAAGCGTTTCTTTTATAATTAATAACAAAATAAATTATTATTATTATAATAAAAATAATCATATTCTTATCATAATCGTAATTAAAAACTACTTCGATTAATAAATTTATCAATTTTTTTACAATTATCGATAAATACAAGCGAGCAGTTAATGTAGTAATAACACCAAAATGACATAAAACAAATTTGAAGCCAAAAAAATAATTTTTATTACAAGGAATGTACAATAAATAAATAATTTTAAAAATTTTAAACACATTTACACTTGTATTTATTTCAATTACATTTTATAAACACAGTAAAATCTAGAATCTTATTGAATTTAATCATCACTGCATAAAGTATAATCTACAAAAAATAATCTAATTTACACATTATTGATCTTTGATTAAAAAAAAAAAAAAAAAAATCGTTCCTAAATATTTTAATATTTTACATAAAATTAAATTTATTAACTAATTGCCTAGCCTACTTATATACTTACACATATGAAATGTATATATATATATATATGTAAATGTTCTACTTAACTTATTGAATAATTAACACTTCAAAATTGTCATTTTTAATGATGATAAGATTTGTCACCGGTATTATTATTACTACGTTTAGATGAGTTAAAATTCTATGCAACGGAATTTTAACTGTAATTATCAAAATTATTTATAACTGAACATGCAATTTTTTATTATTATTATCAAAAGTTTCCCTTAATTAACTGTCAAGTTTTTTGTCAATTACGATACGAGAGAATCATTAGGGTGTAAAACCATGAAGAATTTCGGTCCGAATGGTGAAGCATATTCAGTAAAACCTACATCCGTGAATACCTGAAGAGGTATATTAATATTACAAAGATATATTTTTCCATTACACGCGTCATAAGCAAGAGGCAATGCCGGAACGAGGGAATATTTCGCGGTAACACCTGGAGTACCATGTTTTGGTGGGTCGATTGCAAGAACTTGAGCTCTGTTATTATTGGCCCAACTTGCAGCAGGTGTAATTATATTTTCAGTTGTTGATTTTGAATCTAATAATGCCAAAATAATAAGATCTACAGATGTTGAAGCTAAATCTGAAATAATAAAAAAAAAGACATTTAAAAACAAAATGAAATTTTTATTAAAAAATAAATAAATTACGAAAAAACACACCAACCTTGAAGATTTGTAGTTACTTTATTAGATGTCATCCTATATAAGCCTAATTCATGTGTCATTTCCGTTGTAAGATCTACTGGATCTTGAATATAAACTATAGTTTTCACACCTTGACTAGCTAATTGTCTAGCACAATTTACACCCTGTGAACCAGTGCGATGAGATCCACAAAGCACTGCAATATTCGGACACTGATGTTGATTTTGGGGATTCAAACGCCTGGCTCCTCCGACTAATAATAAAGCCATTTCGGTACAAGCTCTCCCGATAATTTCCGACTGTCTTTCAAATGATAAACCAAATCTTTCAGCGAGTGCTAATAATTTCTTTCTAAGCTCTGGTGGTAAGCTAGGAACTATTAAGCCAGAATCTGTTACATATTCAATGGAGTCTTTTAGAGGAACTATAATTCGTTTATTCACAGATTTCGAATTTAGGATATTTTCATCGCACCTATACCTAGCTCCTTTTTTATCAGCATTACGTACGACATCAGGTTTAGATGCATTGATTTCTTCATAAAATGCTTTTTTATTAAACAAAGCTAAATTTTTTTCAAAATCAAAATCAGCTGGCATGTGATGATCAACAGGTGAACCGAATGCTTCTTCATCTTTCATCATCCATCTTTGCCTTTGTTTATCTCTTTTACTAAGATTTCTTATTGATTCGCTAAATGAATTTAATTTGCTGCAAGCATCCAAAACCTTTTTCGGTGAGTCTTTGAAAAAATTTTCTCTGCTAGGAACTTGTTTATCTGATAATGAATATCCAGGTCTTTTAGGGATGGGTTTTTTAATACTGACAGATGCTGAAAATGACGGATCATTACTAGCTTCAATAATTTCTAAATCATTTATATCTTTAGCACTGTAAAACAAAAAAAAAAAAGGAAAAATTATGAAATGAATTAAGTAACAAAGGCAAAACGAGCATTGTCAAAATTGTGCACACTAATAACGCTTCATTTGACGTAATAAAAAATTTTTTCAACTAAATACGAATAATAATTTGAATTTGATTATCACCTTAAAATAACTTGTCTGGAATGATATGGATAGCCATTTTGAAATGCTTTTTCTAAAGTAATTTTTTGATCGGTAGGATCTATGTGAACTATTTGCCCCTGAAAAACTCCAAGCGGGTCATTACAATGAAGAGAAATAAACTTTCCAATAAATTGTTCCATAGTCTTAAAGTATTTAGTGAAATAAACTAAAATTAAAAATAAATAAGTAAAATATTAAACGCATCCATACGGTAAAAATATTATAATAAAAATTAATTAATTAACCAAAAAGACGATGCTAACCTTAGTTTAATTCAAATCGTCGACAATTCGTTTTCTTGTATAATTACTCTATGACTTTTCTAAACCGTGAAGACTCATGGATAATAAATTAAAAACTACTCGAGTTTTTATAAAAACTTTTCAATTTAAATAAAATTTAAAAAATAAAAATAAAACTAATTTCGTATTTATTAATTAATAAAATCTAAAAAAAAATTATTATGAAATATCATTTTAAATTTAAAATGAATAATATAATTTTAATCGTGACAAATATCAAAGAAAAAACTTTTTTTGACTAATACCGCGAGATATTTTACAACCAATACTGTTTGTGTTAAATTTTATTATGATTAAAAAAGATTTTTAAAATAAAAAAATGATTCAACAAAATTTAAAAATAAAATTATAATCTATACAAGATTTGAAAATTTAATGTCTGATTAATTAATTATTAAAAAAAAAAATTTGTTTAAATGTAAAATACTTTAAAAATGTTCCACTAAAATTTATTCTGACATTACAGCAAAATAATACTTAATTAATTACTAAAAATTTTTGAAAATTTTAATTTTTTAATAAATAATTTAAATTTTATCAAGTTTTTATCAATTTTTTGATTCAATTGGTTATCAAAATTGGAAATTTAAGTAAAAAAAAATCCTACAGGATAAAATATATATATTTGCATTAAAAAATAAAATCATCCTTATTACATACATATGTTCAATGTGAGTATTATTAGTATTATTATTATTATTATTATAAATAAATACTTTTAGGTACAAACAAAAAATGTTTCCATGATTCAATACCTATTCTTCATTTCTATATTATTATTATTATTATTATTATTATAATAAAAAACCGATGTGAAACGGAACGAGGTTTTTAGGGTCCTAAACCATATGCTAACTTTTTAATAAATTCAGTTGGCACACGGTAAGGGACCAAAAAAACTCCGTTTCATATAAATTCAGGTATCCAGAATTTTAATTATTATTATTATTATTAATACAAAAATAATAAACATAATTCCCGGGTTTATTAAAAAAAAAAAATTCTAGAATAATCTATTGATTATTTTCGAAAAAAATTTTTTTTTTTTTTACTGTGTGTGTGCGTTTTATTAGTAATAATTTAGAAAAAAAAATTTATTTATAAATAAATAAATAAATTATAATTTCAATAAAATATATTTACATTAAAATTTTATTAATTAATATTATTATTATTATTAGAACAAAAAAAAAAAAAAGAAAAGTATTTCGATACAAAATTTCAGTATAAAATTTTTTTATTTATTTATAAAAATTTAAAAAAAAAAAAAATTTTAATTTAATAAATTATTATTATTTAATTAATTAATTAGATAAATCTAAGGCTAAATTCGTTTTATTATTATTATTATAATTAATAATAAATAAATTAAGAGAAAATATCAAAACCTGTTCTTGCATTTGCTTCCGGTTCTCCTTTTTCCTCCTTTGACACGTTATAACCGATTTCGTGATATCTAACCGGATACGTTAATTGATTACCCTTATCCCACGTGTACAATTCCTAAAAATTCGTTAAGAAAATAATAATAATGATAATGATAATAATAATAATGATAATTAAAAAAATGAAAATTTTTACTTACTTTCGTTCTGTGATTATAACCGACCATTGTTGTTTTTCTAAATGGATTTGTAAAAGCTAAACTAACATCGAGTAAAATATTTTTGTATAAATCCAATGCGAACCTGTTTTGTAAGAGATAAAATTTATTTTTTTTTAAAAAAAAAAAAGATAAAATTATGGGATTCCCAATTTAAAAAATAAATAATTAAAAACAAAAATTATTTGATGAAATTAAAATTAATAAATCATTAATTGATTATATTTTACATGAGATAAGTATTAAAAAAACATTTTCCAGTTATTATTTTTAGCTCATAAACATATAAAAAACGTAAACAAACAAATGTTTCTGTTAAATTTTTTGAAATTCTGCAACAATTATAATTTTTTATTGTTTTATTATTATTGATTAGTGAAAAAAATAAATAAATAAATTACTTACAACAGAAATCAGTAAATTTTTAAAATAATCGATTGAATGAGTTGAAAAAAAGTTAATTGGACTCACCTTATTTTAGTATTTCTTTCGGTTACGCTATCAATGGCGTATAAAACCCCACAAGTGACAAACATTTCACCGACTTTATGATGATTAATACTGATATCCCACATGTATTGTTTTTTCAATGTGTTCGGATCGATCTTCATTACAATCGTGTTATTATTCGATGGTAAACCGTAAATAACCCAAAGGCCATTGTCGTCGACCGAAAAATCAACGTAATTGAATTCGGTCGTGTATAAATAATTGTTACCGCTTGTTGCCACCATTGGTACATCCAAAGAAACGTATGTTTTTGTCGACAAATCAAATTTTAATATCCTTGGTTTGTTTTGTTCGTTGTAATAAAATGATCCGTTGTAAATAACGTGAGAGTTTCCCTGCGAAAAAAATTCCAATTGACACGTTGTAACTTTTATTTATAATTGATTATGATAATTATTATTATTATTTCATTAAAGAATACTTTTAAAGGATGTTCCAGTTCGTAAACTTTAGTCGGTATGTCTTTTCTATACGAGCTTTTGTTAGCAAATTCGTACAAATGAGTCGAATCGGATTCGCTGGTAACCCAAAACATTTCACCGGAAGCATCGTTTTTCGGTACCGGATCTCTCATCCAGCTTCCGTACGTTTGATCTGTGTATCTGTGATAAACCGGTTTCCCGACGGCATACAGCAAACAATCTAAAAAAAAAGAATTTTTTCCTATGCAATACGCAAAAGGGGAAAAGAATTTAAAAATTGGGAAGAAGAATGCAACGAACCCAAAGTTCTATTCGGTAAACCCGGATACGTGTCATTTCCGAAAGGTTTTATTTCCAATTTTCCGACTAAATCGAAAAGCGATATGCTTCCTTCCCGACATTTAAATTCTTTCGGATCGGGACATTCGGGACACGGTGATTGAGGAGGGCAAATGTCATCGAAATCAACAGGAGGAGGTGGTTGCTCTCCGTAAATTGCCACTCCCTGACCAGCGATTCGTACCGGAGGAGGAGTTGCCAAACCTGGATCGATTTCTAAAAAAAAAAAACTTTGAATTATACGATCCAGTATTTATTGCTACCGTTTACTGATTTGAAAACTTGCCGTAAACTGTAAAAATCCCTTTCGTTATTCCTATTTCATTTTTACTTATGCAATGGTACAACCCGTAATCATTAACTCCAACATTTGTTATGTTTAATTGCATTTTCACTCTAAATTTATCCTTTTCAGTATCACCGATTCTATATTTATATCCGTGTTCGATAAATCTACCATCGGCTCTTTCCCAATATCTAACAGATTCTGGAAAAGCTTCCACTTCGCATTCTAAAATGGCCGTCGATCCATTGACAACTCCAATTAATTGATTTTGAATTCTTATTAAAGGTGCAACTAAAAACAAAAATTTTAATTTACTTTTACCATATATATATTTCTTTTATGTTGAAAACTTAAAATTAAGTTAAACAAACTTTATAAAGTTTTCAAATTATTAATTTTTAGACGTGTTACACTAACTAACTAATAATTATAATTTTCCGTATATTTCCCATTGAAAACAATCCAATAATTTAAATTTATTTTCCTTCGGTTTTCTGTCTGTGTTTGTAAGGAAAATTTTTTTTTGTTATTTTATCTAATCGATAAAATTTTCGCCGAAACAATTGATTGATTTCTTAACATTTCTCAAAAGTTTATAAACAATAAAATTCCCGTTTTCAAATTTTATAATAAAAAAAAAAAGTTTTAGAATTGTTAAGGGTTTCTACAACACTAAATTATTTATTAATATTTTTTTTTTTTAATAAAAACAATTATCGATTTTTTTTTAATAATTTTTAATTTAAAAAAACGTCAAATTTTTTCCGAAACGGTTTTTTAGACAAAAAAAAAAGGAAAAGTTTTTCTATTCAAAATGTTTTTCCTTTGAAAAAAAAAAATAAACAATGGAAAAGCCTTCTCTCTCTTTTCGGCCTCGGATTTTTTTTTTAATATAAAAATCAACCCTTTTGTAAAAATTAAATTTTATAAAATTATTATCCAGCTGTTAATGATAATTTTATTTTTTACTGGATAAAAAAAAGGGAGGGAGAGTAGGGGGAACGGGGGTCAAATAAAAAAATTTTTCCTTTTCGTTATAAATTATTTTTAAATAAAGACTTACAATAGACTTCAAGCACGAATGTTTGATTTGCTGGAGGTGGTATACCATTATCAGCTATGCACATATAAACTCCCATGTGTTGCCTGTTTATTCTTGTAATGTTTAACGTGTGTCCAGGTACGGATATCGCTGAAATAAAAGAAACAAAAAAAATAATCAATTGTATTGAACGTAAACATTTATAAAATAAAAACCTACCCTTCCACGATCCCACGGGAATTGTGCTTCCGTCGTATTTTCTCCATTCCACGTTAGGTTTTGGTCTTCCTTCAGCTGCACAACGCATACGTACATTTTCACCTTCTCGAACAACTATGGGTTTGGGTGGAATAAAATTTCCGGCACCTTTAAAAAAAAAAGAAAATTCTTAAACCGATCGATCAAATATCAATCCTCAACTTAAATATCGATCGAATATTTTTCCCGTAAATTTTTCCCGACAGTTTTCTTACGGAAAACATTACCAGGGATTGAGACAAATCCATACACAAAATCCATACAAAAAATCCATAAAAGTCAATTGGACTCTTATAGGACCGTGTTATCGCCTTCTATTTGGCCCAATTTGAGCTCATCAAAAGGGAGGTTTACATTTATCTGAATGAATGAATGAATGAATGATTGATTGATTGAATATTAACGAATGAAAAAAACAAAACGATTTTTTGTTGATAAATCGATAAATATTCAAAATGAAATCTTTAAAAATTTAACGATTTAATTTTTATTATATTACATTAAAATTTTTTTTTTGAAAACCCTACTACCAACTACTGAAATAAAATTTAAAAAAAAAAATCAGGTTGGCCAATCGTTTAGATTTTAAAAATCACAAAAAAATATAAAAAAAATTTAACCGTAATTTATTTATTATTCATCGCAAATTTAATTAAAAAAATTTTTTTTATATATTTTATGACGAAATTCAAACAATCATATTATATTTTAATTAATTGTTTTCATTAACAAAATTTTAAAATTAAAAAAATGATTATTATTATTATTATTATTTAAGTTTAATAAGAAGTTTTTTATAAAAAAAAAAAAAGTTTTTAAAACTCGTTATATTGAATAGAACGAAAAAAAAAAAAAAGAAAAAGAAATTATAATTTTATTTTAAACAAAAAAAAAAAAAAAAGAATATTGAATTGACTGAATTCTAATTAAAAATCGAACTTTTTATTTCAATTAAATATGGCGGAGAACTTTAAACAGGGGAGGAAAAAAAGAAAAAGGAAAAAAAAATTTATTATTATTATTATTATTTTTTTTTCCCATTGAAAAGATGATGATGATGATTATTATTATTTACAAAAGTTTTATAGTAAAATTATTAACATATTTAAAATTTAATTAAAAGGATTAAAAAGTTTTTTTTTTTTAAATAAATAAAAAATTATTATTATTATTATTATTGTTATTTTTGTTAATCTTATTTAATTAAAAAAAAAATTTACGTAATTCGATAACGATGATGACGATGATGATAATGATGATGATTTCGTTTGTTTATTTTTTTCGCATTGATTTTTAAAACGACCGTTAAAGTCATTATTAAGTTTTTTTTTTTTAATTAAAAATAAATTAATAATAAATTTTTATTTTTATTTTTAAACAAATGTTTAAATTGGTATGTCGAAAAATAATAATAATAATAATAAAATAACGAGGGTGAAGTATTATTATTAATAAAAAAATTTTCCGATAATTTAATTTTTCCGATGAATCCTTTTTTTTTTAATGATTTTTAACGTTAAAATTATTTTTAATGGTTTTAACGTATTAAACCCCCCGCCCCCCGCTAGCCGCCGTCCTGTTAATTCAATTACAATTTTTTTTTTAAATAATAAAAGCTTTTTATTTTTTAG